TCTTTTAAAGTAAACTAGTAAAAATGATTCACTGGGAAAATGTGCTATGCTTATCCCGAAGATTTCTTATGTTCCAGTCCCCAACAATTAGTTCCTATTAGCTCACATGTCCAGATTTGAGATGAATGGAAGTAAGATTTACCAGAAAAGATGTTTATTCTGACTTTCAATTTCCTTAATGCCCTAAAACACCTTTATCCAATACCTAAGCCACTTCCTGGCAGTAAATTAAATACCAGAAATTTGAACTTGGTCATGCCTTAAGGTACATCCATACAGTATCAAATACTTTAACTTGAAAGATATTTCATTGGAACTTAACTACCTAGCAGCAAAGAAGCCCACGAAAAATTGAAAGTGTGAGTGGAGAGGAGACAGGGACTCTGTCACATTTGTAAATTATTAAATTAAAGGCCCTCAATTCTTATCAGTCAGTAAGATTAAATATTTTGTAGAACTATTTTAGATCTAAAGGACACTTCAGATTTTCCAGTTTGGCTAGAGTATGATACATAAAGAGGAGCAGTAGAACATAAGTCTGGGAAGATAACATGGGATCATACCCTTATAACTATGGCTATAACCCATGTTAGGTTATTTCTATGTAACCAGGTACCTTGAGTAAATATCTATATAAACAGAGGTACACTTATATTAAATGAACCAGGTAACAGTGAATAGGATGTATTGAAGACCAGTTAGGTGGCACTACACAAACCCAAGCAAGAAACAGTGGGAGAATGGACCACATTGGTGGTAGTGATTGAAGTTAAGGAATGGAGGTGATTAGCTAGAAAATAGAAAATGAAGAGTAGCTAAACTGTCATCCCAAAGTCTTTGAATACAAGCGTGCACGTGAGTTACTGCTGCCAGACTGTCCACAGTGTTTGTTGTCTCTAGAGTGGCCAATTGCAGAAAATGAGTGTGAGAACTTAAGGCAGAAACAGCTATTATGGACATTTAACCTTGTATGGCTCTCAATAATGAACTTCAGATTTCAAATGAAACTAAAATTGCTTCTGCTGAATATAAAATAGAATGTACTGGAGGTTTGGGATGGAGCTATCTCATCATAAACAACTGATGTCATATTCAAGAAGGTAGAATAAATTTTTCTTTGAGTGACTAGATATTTACGGAAGTAAATATTTTAGATAGATTTTAATAATATAAACTCTGAGTGCACATTCAAGTGCCTTGATTCACGTGGCAATATCTAGTATCATTTCTGTTGATGATGTTCCAAATATTCTGAAATGGAAATTCTATTGAGAGACTTTTGTAAACAGGCCAAAAGAAATTTTATATTTTAACAACATTTTTAACAATATGAAAATAACAAGAATTGGTTAATTTTTGATCATTTTAAGCTTCAACACACAATTGCTTTGCTGTCGTTAACTCTCATTAACTCTAAAGTATAGTAATAATCACTGTGTTTAATGTGGTAGATTACAACTAAAAAGTTGTTATCTGTCAGGAAATGGTCTTCATGTAGCTAGAAGATACTATATGACAAAACTGAAAGTTGCCTTCCAGATTGACAAAAAACGGTAGGTCATTTTCTCAATGATAGGGCAAGAAGGAAATCTGGGACACAACCTATAACCAATATATCATATAGCATACTGATGTGTGCAATCTAGTATACCATATGCTGCTCCTATTCTTTCAAAGTAAGGCAGGCAACACAGAAAAGAAGCATGCACAGAAAATACAGAAAATCCTTCTGCAGCAATGACTCTGTTGTCTTCACATATCCCTATCCCTGACTCAGCATCCAATCTGAACACATACTCATAGTAGGCACTCAATAAACACTTGCATTTTGTTCGTTTTTGTCAAACACGGATCAAAATTATACTCTGAAAATGATATGGATTTTGCATATTTAGAACAGGCTGTTATGTAATGAAACCAGAAAGAGTAAAGAGAATCACTTAATGATCCCATCCTCTGCCCCTAGCACACACTGCACATTCTGCACTGCACCTTAACTTCCATTCTGTCATTTATGGGGCACAGAAACAAAAAACACCTTACCTCTGTCACACTTTTCTTCATCACTGCCATCCACACAGTCGTGAATTCCATCACACAGCCATCTAATTGGAATACAGTGGGCTTTATTTCTGCACCGAAACTGATCTTCCTTACATTCAGTCACACAGTCCATCTGTTCAAATACAAATGGGCACTGCAGTTTTCATTAATGATAATGATACAATCGCAGGGAAAATAAACATGCAGCCTATAATACTGGAGATTTATTATACCTTGGGCTTTCTTTTATTTTGACTTAATGAATATGACCTCTATAAATGACAATAAGCTTTAGCATATAGACAGCATAAAGATTCCGGTACTTGCTGAAATGATTGTGTCCAATATACTTACTAACATTTTAGATAGTGCTAAGAATCGAGATTCTGTCTCTTTATTTTCCTTGCATTTGTTTTCCCAAACCTAATTCATGTAATGCAAAGATTTTAATTAAATGATAGATTTTACCTCATCTGAACCATCAGCACAATCATATTCTCCATTACATTTCAAAGATGCTGAAATACATCCGCCGCTGGCACATATGTATTCACTTGATGAGCAAGTAGGAGAAGCTGAATACAATTATAAATTTGAGATTTAGATACAGTAAAAGCGTGATGGGTTTGGGATATACATAAATAAGCATATAAACATAAATAAGCATGTAAAATATAAATTAATAGATGGTAATAAGAATTGTTTATATTATTTTGACTATATTCAACATCTGGTATTAAAGATTCATTTACAATGTACTTTGCAATATTATTCATTATATTAAACATGCTTCAGTGATATAATAGCCTATGAAGTAAGGATTTAACTCATTAAAGAAAGAAAAGGGAGAAAAATTATATCCTCCATTCCTTTGATTTTGAAGTGTCAGATGAGATTTTCACAAT